ACTACATTACCTATTTTAAATCGTACACCTGGACCTGGTGTGCCATCATTCTGCTGGGCTTTGTCGCCAAGCAGCTGGCCGCCGTGGGCAGCAATGTCTGGCTGGCAGTTTGGAGTAATGATAAACTGCACGGGGGCAACGGAACCGAGCAGAATGATGAGGATTTGGCGCTGAGGAACGTTCGGCTGGGCGTCTACGCCGCCCTTGGTGTCACTCAAGGTAATGTCTCTCTTTTGTGAGGTACTTGTTTTCCTAATTTTTTTTTCTAAACTCCTTTTTTAAACCTAGGAATTTGCGTCGCAGTGGGCTCCATCTCGTTAGCCATCGCCACCATCAAGTCCTCGGTTACCTTTCACAGGCGACTCTTCGACCGGATCATGCGCTCGCCGATGAGGTTTTTCGATACTACACCGCTGGGACGCATTGTGAACCGCTTCAGCAAGGACATTGACACGGTGGACACCGCCATTCCTTACAGTATTGAGTGAGTGCTAACAAAAAAAGGAACTTTTCAATGATAAAACTAATAATATCAATAACTTATTACCCATCACCACCACCACAGAGGCCTCGTCTTTTGCCTGCTCGAGGTGGTGGCCACCATCATCTACATCGCCGTACAAGTGCCTGTCTTCCTCGCCGCTGTCCTCCCCACGCTGATTCTCTACTACTTTATACAAAAGTTCTACCTGGCCACTTCTCGTCAACTAAAGCGATTAGAGTCAATCACCCGATCGCCCATCTACTCTCACTTTGGGGAAACGCTGAGCGGCGTGGCCACCATTCGAGCCTACGGGCTGGGGGATTCCTTCACCGGCCAGTCGAATGCCCACGTCGACACCAACCAGCGGTGCTACTACCCCAACTTTATTGCCAATCGCTGGCTGGCACTGCGGCTGGAATTTTGCGGCAACCTAATTATCATCTTCGCCGCCATCTTCGCCGTCATCTACCGGGAGTCCTTCCAGGAGCGGCCTGGCTTTGTGGGCCTCATCATTACCTACTCCTTCACGGTGACGCTCAATCTCAACTGGATGGTCCGCATGACCTCGGAGATGGAGACGAATGTGGTCAGTGTGGAGCGGATCAGCGAGTACTGCCAGCTGGAGGTGGAGCGGGAGTGGAGGAGGCCGGAGAATCGGGATCCAGTACTTCCGGTCGGGTGGCCCAGAGAGGGAGAGATTAGCTTCGTTGATTACTCGGTTCGGTATCGTGAGGGCCTGGACCTGGTGCTCTCCGATGTCTCCGTTGATATTGGCGCCGGTGAGAAGATTGGCATTGTCGGGCGGACTGGTAGTGGGTAAGTTTTCTTACTTAAAAATTTGTTTGTACTCAAGTAATCAAATGTTTGTTTTGGGGTTTTAGAAAATCGACGCTAACTTTGGCCCTTTTTCGCATTCTTGAGGCCGCCTTTGGCTGCATCAAAATTGACGGCGTTGAGGTGGGAAGGCTGGGACTGCACGAGCTGCGGGGAATTCTGTCCATCATTCCTCAAGATCCGGTACATATCACTTTTTGGAACTTTAGAACTGAAACTAATTGGAACTTTCTTATTCTTAGGTCCTCTTTTCCGGCACCATCCGCTCCAATTTGGACCCATTCTCTGTGTACAGCGACGCCCAACTTTGGGAAGCCCTCGGGCACGCCCACCTGGCCGAGTACATTCGCTCGCTGGACGCCGGTTTGGAGTACGTGGTAGCGGAGAACGGCGAAAACCTTAGCATTGGCCAGCGCCAGCTGATCTGCCTGGCGAGGGCACTTCTGCGGAGGACGAAAATTCTGGTTCTGGATGAGGCGACGGCAGGTGAGGGATTCTTTTTAGTAAACAAAAATTTCAAAATACATTTTAATGATCATCCTTTTTTTGTTGTCAGCCATCGACCTCGAAACTGACGCCCTGATTCAGGAGACAATTCGCCGGGAGTTTGCCCACTGTACAGTGCTCACCATTGCCCACCGGCTGAACACCATTCTCGACAGTACTCGAGTGCTGGTGATGGACGCCGGAAGGGTGCTCGAATTTGACACTCCTGAGGCACTGCTGGCAAATACTGACAGCAGCTTCTACTCACTGGCCAAGGATGCAGGGCTCGTGTAGA